CGCAGGAGCACGTGATAGGAAGATCATTTCGTCTGTACGACCAAGTACTCAGATCGACGAATGTGGGGATCATAGCTTGGGCAGGTATGCCATTCGAGTACCGGTGTTCAATACAAGCCAGAGTTTGGGCAGTAATATAATACACCTCGTTGAATTACCGTAGCTACTTCGGTCAGGACATTGGTCTCGAACTCATGCTTCTTGAAAATCGACTGAACCGAGGTAAACATTGGAATGGCATAGCTGCCCCTCTGAGGAAGTCGAGCTCGCTGATGCTGAGTCAAGCCTTCAGAGGGTGTAGCATTAACATCATCGAGGGGGATTCAGTTTCATATTGCAATTGAAAATGTACTCTCTACTTCATCGCGTCATTTCTCTCATTGGAATATTGAGGTTTTATCGTCTTGGCTGTGTGAACGGTTACAAAGATAGTCTTGTATAATCGGAGACTGATTCGAATGCATCGGACTTCAGTGACTAATTCGAGTGAATTGGACTTCAGTGATTCTCGCGATATATAGATATATGATGATATCAGACCTCCTTGTGACCTTTTAAAGGATTTGCCTCCGTTAATTGGGAGCCCTCGAGACACGATCGACTTCGACATTGAGCGAAGCAGAGAATGATATCACTCCGTGGGGAGTCTCCACCAAGGATCCTAGAGAAATTCTTTGAGTGAATCGTATTTCTGGCTGCTAGATTGTAGCCTCTCCCAAATGAGCTCGCTTGGTTTCTCCCATGACGAATGAGTTATGAGCTCGTTGTGCTTGTTCCTCAACAATCATGAGCTCTCGCATCCTAACCTTCCGCTACGGTCCGTAGCATTCTCGGCTGATGCGGGGGAGCTTCATCTACAAGCGTGATGGTCCCGATTCTCTCACGATGACCTTCAACACCACTAGGGATGGCCTTAGGCAGTTCACTATCCAGAGTAGTCATCGATACCAAGATGATTGGCTCCAGCTCCGCGAAGATGATGAGTACCATGGTATCCTCCACGAGTTCCCTGAGTCTGGCCCTTGTGCCTATCGTGGTAATCTCGAGTTCGCGATGCGATGCGATGTGAAAGCCGAACGACTCTATTGACGCAACTCTTTCGATCAATACTCATTCACTCGTTATCAAGATCGCATGCGATACCGCGGGTTAGTCAAAATGCGGTTCATTAAACACTTCAAAGCTTCATTCCAAAATGTCTTCACACACTCGGGCTGGAAGTAGCCTGAGAATCGGCCACCTCAGCCGTTGTCGCTGAGGCTTCGGTGGTGACATCAACGTTGGTGGTGGCACTGATAGTAGTGACTGGGAAGTCAGCTGTAGTCGCGAGATCAGTGGCGACGTCGTCTGTTGTAGTAGCAGCGAATGTGGTGGATGAGGCCTCTCCAGTAACATCCGGCGATGTGGTTACTTCCGGGGGAGCTGCTGTGCTGGTCGTTTGTGCAACAGTGGTAGGCTCGACAGGAGCGTCGGTAGTAACATCAGCCGCATCGGCTGTAGTTACCATTCCGGTAGTGTCAACAGCAACAGAAGTGGC